AAGCAGCCTCCATCTTCCATGTATTCTGTCATTGGTTCCAACATGAACCAAGACCGCTGGGTCATGCCCAGCCCCTCCCAGTAATTTATTAACCCGGTCCACCACATGCCGAACCCTGGCACCAGGGAGACAGCAAACCATTCGGTTGAGGTGATCCTGGCGACAAATTCTATCAGTCCTTCTGGTCATAGAATCCTACTACTACTACCACCAGCTGTCTAAGCCTTCCTGCACTACCCTCACCACCCCTCCCAGATGGTCTGCCATCCCGGCTGTTAGGGATAGCAGTGACATCCAGGGGTGCCACCCCCACATCTTCAACCAACTTGCCCAGCCTGTTTGGGTGCTCAAACCCAGGGCCAGCCTTCCTTCTCTATGAGCCCCTACCACTCCCTCATTACAGTAACCCATCTTCCTACCTGATAATCCTAATTATCCCCTCTGCCCTCCACATCAGTCCCATTAGCTACCTGCTCAGAGAGCAGAAGACCCCTTTCAAGGTTGATAGCTCTGCCCAGCGTTGCAACTTTCTCCTCCAGAACTCTAACACGAGATTCTAGAAAGGCAAGCCGCTCACATCTGTCACAGCGGTATCCATCCCGGAGCTGTTGCTCCATTGTTGCATACATGCGGCACACTGTGCACTGCACAAACCTTCCACCCCGCTAGCACTCATATCCCATCACAATACTAACAGGAAAGATCACTTGTCACTTACAGGTTAGTAGACTCCTCTTATAATCTCCTGTTTCCAACTCCATTTTTTTTTTAACTCCACTTATTAAATGTCCACTTAGTTCAGTGGTTCTCAACCTTTCTAACGCCGCGACCCCTTAATACAGTTCCTCATGTTGTGGTGACCCCCAACCATAAAATTATTTTCGTTGCTACTTCATAACTGTAATTTTGCAGTAGGAGGAATAGTGCCACGTCATTGGTGTCAGTGGGAGGAATAGTGCCCCATCATTGGTGTCAGTGGGAGGAATAGTGCCCCGTCATTGGTGTCAGTGGGAGGAATAGTGCCCCCATCATTGGTGTCAGTGGGAGGAATAGTGCCCCATCATTGGTATCAGTGGGAGGAATAGTGCCCCATCATTGGTATCAGTGGGAGGAATAGTGCCCCATCATTGGTATCAGTGGGAGGAATAGTGCCCCATCATTGGTATCAGTGGGAGGAATAGTGCCCCCATCATTGGTATCAGTGGGAGGAATAGTGCCCCATCATTGGTATCAGTGGGAGGAATAGTGCCCCATCATTGGTATCAGTGGGAGGAATAGTGCCCCATCATTGGTATCAGTGGGAGGAATAGTGCCCCATCATTGGTATCAGTGGGAGGAATAGTGTCCCATCATTGGTATCAGTGGGAGGAATAGTGCCCCATCATGGTATCAGTGGGGGGAGGAATAGTGCCCATCATTGGTATCAGTGGGAGGAATAGTGTGCCCATCCTTGGTGTCAGTGGGGGGGAATAGTGCCCCATCCTTGGTGTCAGTGGGGGGAGGAATCGTGCCCCATCCTTGGTGTCAGTGGGGGGAGGAATCGTGCCCCATCCTTGGTGTCAGTGGGGGGAGGAATCGTGCCCCATCCTTGGTGTCAGTGGGGGGAGGAATTGTGCCCCATCCTGGTGTCAGTGGGGGGAGGAATCGTGTCCCATCCTTGGGGGGAGGAATAGTGCCCCATTGTTGGTGTCATTTGGGGGAGGAATCGTGTCTCATCGTTGGTGTCAGTGGGGGGGGGAATAGTGCCCCATCGTTGGTGTCAGTGGGAGGAATAGTGTCCCATCGTTGGTGTCAGTGGGAGGAATAGTGCCCCATCATTGGTATTAGTGACACCAATGATGGGGCACTATTCCCACTGACACCAATGATACTTACCTTGCAGACTCCTGCTCCAGCCTGGGCTCGCTCGCTCCCTCCCTCTCCCATGGTACCGACACTTACCTGTCAGATGTCTTCCTTCTCCGGCCGCTGTCCTCCTCTTCACTCGCTCGATCTTCGCGGTGCCGCTCGGCTCCTCCTCTCCAAGCTCCACCTCCTTGCCGGTGATTGGCAGTTAAAGGTCCAGCAAGCAAAATACAGGCAAGCTCAGAGTGAGCTCCACAGCAAGTTATATAGGACCTGTATCACCTGGGACCAATTAACCCCGCCCCTTAATTAGAAGAGTGAAGGAAGACAAGGAAAGGAAGAAAAAAAAGTGACAGAAAAAGGGATTTAAAAAAGTAAAATCTTTTAGCAAGACCCAAAGAAGAAAATAAAACAACTACAAGCACCAGCAGTCAGCAGCAGTCAGAAGTAAAATGTTTTCACATTTCCCACTCTTCAGTGATCAGCCAGCATACAATGCCAGACTGATTGTACTGTTGTGGGTTTAGTAACACTTTATGTCACCTGGAACACTCCAGCAACTATGGAAGAATGTTGTTCATTGACTAGAGTTCGGCTTTTAATACCGTTATCCCAGATCTATTGGTGGGGAAGATGCTGAAGCTGAATATGCCCCCTTCCCTTTGCTCTTGGACAGTGGTCTCCAAACTACAGCCCTGGGGCCAGATGTGGCCCTCTGATTGCCTTTATCTGGCCTTTGAGGCATTATTCCTGCCAGTCACACCAACAATGGGGCACTATTCTTCCCACTGACACCAACAATGAATCACTATTCCTTCCACTGACACCAACAATGAGGCACTATTCCTTCCACTGACACCAACAATGAGGCACTATTCCTTCCACTGACACCGACAATAAGGCACTATTCCTCCCACTGACACCAACAACGAGGCACTATTCACTATTCCTTCAACTGACACCAACAACGAGGCACTATTCCTTCCACTGACACCAACAACGAGGCACTATTCCTTCCACTGACACCAACAACGAGGCACTATTCCTTCCACTGACACCAACAACGAGGCACTATTCCTTCCACTGACACCGACAATGAGGCACTATTCCTTCCACTGACACCGACAATGAGGCACTATTCCTCCCACTGACACCGACAACGAGGCACTATTCCTTCCACTGACACCGACAACGAGGCACTATTCCTTCCACTGACACCGACAACGAGGCACTATTCCTTCCACTGACACCGACAACGAGGCACTATTCCTTCCACTGACACCGACAACGAGGCACTATTCCTTCCACTGACACCGACAACGAGGCACTATTCCTTCCACTGACACCGACAACGAGGCACTATTCCTTCCACTGACACCGACAACGAGGCACTATTCCTTCCACTGACACCGACAACGAGGCACTATTCCTTCCACTGACACCGACAACGAGGCACTATTCCTTCCACTGACACCGACAACGAGGCACTATTCCTTCCACTGACACCGACAACGAGGCACTATTCCTTCCACTGACACCGACAACGAGGCACTATTCCTTCCACTGACACCGACAACAAGGCACTATTCCTTCCACTGACACCGACAATGAGGCACTATTTCTTCAACTGACACCGACAATGAGGTACTATTCCTTCCACTGACACCGACAATGAGGCACTATTCCTTCCACTGACACCAACAGTAAGGCACTATTCCTCCCACTGACACCAACAATGGGGCAACTATTCCTTCCACTGACACCAACAATGCGGCACTATTCCTCCCACTGACATTAACAGTAAGGCACTATTCCTCCCACTGACACCAACAATGGGGCACTATTCCTTCCACTGACACCAACAATGGGGCACTATTCCTTCCACTGACACCAACAATGGGGCACTATTCCTTCCACTGACACCAACAGTGGGGCACTATTCCTTCCACTGACACCAACAAGGGGGGCACTATTCCTTCCACTGGGCACCAAGGGGGCACTATTCCTTCCACTGACACCAACAATGGGGCACTATTCCTTTCACTGGCACCAACAATGGGGCACTATTCCTTTCACTGACACCAACAAAGAGGCACTATTCCTGCCACTGACACCAACAATGAGGCACTATTCCTGCCACTGACGCCAACAATGGGGCACTATTCCTTCCACTGACACCAACAGTGGGGCACGATTCCTTCCACTGACACTAACAATGGGGCACTATTCCTGCCACTGACACCAACAATAGGGCACTATTCCTGCCACTGACACCAACAATAGGGCACTATTCCTGCCACTGACACCAACAATAGGGCACTATTCCTTCAACTAACACCAACTATTTCTCCCCATAAAACCAAAGATCGGGCATTGTTTACTCCCATGGCCCCCCTACAGTCTAAAGGACACTAAACTGGCCCTTTCTTTAGAAGGTTTGGAGACCCCTACTCTTGGATAAAGGATTTCCTGGTAGAGAGCCCCACAGGGGGTCACACTGAGTAAGCATGTGTCATCCCAGGGTGTGGTCAGCATAGGAGTACCACATGGTTGTGTATTGAGTCCCCTTCTCTACTCTCTATACCCTTGTGATTGCACTCCCTGCTTTTCTACAAAACGTAACATCAAAGTTTCAGATGACACCACCATAGTAGGTTGCATCACAAGAGGGGATGAGAAGCATTACAGGGAAGAAGTGGCCAATTCAGTAGAGTGGTGTGAGGGAAACAATTTGTCCCTAAACACTGGGGAGACCAAGGAGTTAAAAGCTGATTTTAGGAAGACCAAGACTGACATGGTTCCATTCTACACCAGAGGAGACGTAGTAGAGCCGGTATCTGCTTTTAAGTTTTTAGGTATTAAAGTGTTACTAAACCACAGACCCTGCATTCACTATATCTGGTCTCCCCGGACCCTGCATTCACTATATTCGGTCTCCCCGGACCTTGTATTCACTATATCTGCTCTCCCTGGACCCTGCATTTTTTATATCTGGTCTCCCAGGACCCTGCATTCACTATATCTGGTCTCCCTGGACCCTACATTCACTATATCTGGTCTCCCAGGACCCTGCATTCACTATATCTGGTCTCCCTGGACCCTGCATTCACTATATCTGGTCTCCATGGACCCTGCATTCACTATATCTGGTCTCCCTGGACCCTGCATTCACTATATCTGGTCTCCCCGGACCCTGCATTCACTATATCTGGTCTCCCCGGACCCTGCATTCACTATATCTGGTCTCCCCGACCCTGCATTCACTATATCTGGTCTCCCCGGACCCTGCATTCACTATATCTGCTCTCCCCGGACCCTGCATTCACTATATCTGCTCTCCCCGGACCCTGCATTCACTATATCTGCTCTCCCCCGGACCCTGCATTCACTATATCTGCTCTCCCCGGACCCTGCATTCACTATATCTCTGCTCTCTCCCCGGACCCTGCATTCACTATATCTGGTCTCCCCGGACCCTGCATTCACTATATCTGGTCTCCCCGGACCCTGCATTCACTATATCCCCGGTCCTCCCCGGACCTCTGCATTCACTATATCTGGTCTCCCCGGACCCTGCATTCACTATATCTGGTCTCTCCCCGGACCCTGTATTCACTATATCTGGTCTCCCCGGACCCTGCATTCACTATATCTGGTCTCCCCGGACCCTGCATTCACTATATCTGGTCTCCCCCGGACCCTGCATTCACTATATCTGGTCTCCCCGGACCCTGCATTCACTATATCTGGTCTCCCCGGACCCTGCATTCACTATATCTGGTCTCCCCGGACCCTGCATTCACTATATCTGGTCTCCCCAGACCCTGCATTCACTATATCTGGTCTCCCCAGGACCCTGCATTCACTATATCTGGTCTCCCCAGGACCCTGCATTCACTATATCTGGTCTCCCCGGACCCTGCATTCACTATATCTGGTCTCCCCGGACCCTGCATTCACTATATCTGGTCTCCCCGGACCCTTCACATATATATATCTCCCCAGTCTCACTATATCCTGCCCTATCATGATCTCTCCCCAGACCCTGCATTCACTATATCTGGTCTCCCCGGACCCTGCATTCACTATATATCTGGTCTCCCCGGACACTTCACATATCTGGTCTCCCCAGACCCTGCATACACTATATCATCTCCCCGGACCCTACATTCACTTATCTGATCTCCCCGGACCCTGCATTCACTATATCCGCTCTCCCCAGACCCTGCATTCACTATATCTGGTCTCCCACAGTACACAGAACATGGAAATGCAATTATTTTAGTAAATATAAATTACTAAACCTGGAAACCATCTGGCAGGAGGTTGGAAAAAGAAAAAAAAGGTGAGGACAAAACGACTCGAGGAAGGTTTCTTTCTTTCCAATAGCTATCAAGGCCCTAAATGGTCATTTTGAGTATTATTATCTCGCTCCAAGTGACTTGGCTTGATGTTGTGGTCGTCGTTTCTTTTAGGCTTTTATATGGGGGGATGGGGACAATGTTCACATGTGTGCATGTTGAGAATGTTATATGTTCATGTGTGTGTGTGAGTTTTTTTTTTTTTAGAGAATTTCATTTGTGATTTACGTTGCAATGACAATAAAGTACCTATCTTTTTTTATTTCATAAAAGTTTATTGGTGAATTACAGAATTACAAAGGAACTTGTAAAATACAAGAGGATAAGGCAGTCATCAATAGGTACAACATGAGAAAACAGAGATCATATGCAAGAACATAGACAGCGACAAATAACTAGGCCACAACCGGGTTATGCATGTAATACTCAGGCAGCATGAAAAGGCATAATAGAGGCTGATAACAGAGAACCTCATGTAGATATACCTCAAGGCATAGGCCCGCAATGGGGGGGCGAATGTAGTGCACATACAAAAAATGTGGCGACAGTCGTTATGTAGCAAAGGTATCTGAATACAAATGAAAACTGTCGTAGAGACTCTAATAAGTATAAGATAATATTGATGTAGTTATGCCCAATGATCTCTTGAAGACTACATAAAGTGCAGAAGAGTGTGTGAGAAGAAAAGGAAAAGAGTGTGGGAGATGGGAGAGATGAAAGAGAAGAGAAAAAAAAAAAAAAAAAAAAAAAAAAAAAAAAGGGGGGGAGGGGGGGTAGAGGAAAGGGGGAGGAAGGACAAAGGGAGAGGGTGGAATAAGGGGAGGAGTAACGTGCGAATTAAGTGTCATCGTCTATACGTTAGGATATAAACAGAAGTAGACAGAACCTGAACCGCCACAGGGGACATGCAAATGGGGGCAGATACACTTAAGGAAACACATTGCCAGCCATTCGGAAAAAGAGAAAGGGGTGTCATAGGAGGGTGAGCTGAATTAGATCAAGTAGATTGGTCCATGAGGGACTGATATGCAGGGGTGGTCTGAAAGTGAGTCCAACAGGCCCAAGTGTGGGAAAATTTGGTCAGGGTATCAAGTGCAGTCGCAATCAGTTTTTCCATCTCCGCCACTTTGCCCAAGCGGATAAGCCAATCTTGTATGGAGGGACGGCGAGTGGAGCCCCAAAATACAGGTAAGCAGAGTCTGGCTGCGTTGACATATGCATAGCTAAGGATTTAAAATACTGTCCCCACGGAAGGAGGAATAGTGGAGGAGGAACTGAGTCAGAGAAAGAATCAATGGTAAGGTAGTTACAGACACCACAATCCGATAGACCTCTTGCCAGAATGGTTGAATGATTGGGCAAGACCACCAGATGTGGAGAAATGACCCATCTGACGTCCAGCATCTCCAACAGCTGTTGGGCAAGGATTCTCTCTTGTCAGGTATCACTAACACCATTGATCCTGCAGGTTTGTCGGCCACCAACGCCCCCTTGACGTTGGAGGAGCTGCACTCTGCGGCTAAATCCTTCAGGCGGGGCAGGACCCCGGGCTGCGATGGTCTCCCAGCAGAGCTCTATGTAGCGCTGTGGGACCTCGTGGGCCCGGACCTGCTCGAGCTGTACGAGGAGATGGTGGTGGAGGGCAGGATGCCTCCTTCGTTGAGGGAGGGAATGATCACGATCTTGTACAAGCGTAAGGGGGAGAGATGTGACTTGAAAAACTGGCGTCCCATCTCTCTCCTGAACGTGGACTACAAGATCCTCGCCAAAGTCCTGGCTAACAGGCTGAAGGCCGTCATCGGACAGATCATCCACCCGGATCAGACTTGCGGCATTCCTGGCCGCAGGATTGCAGACAGCCTAGCGCTCGTCCGGGACACGGTCCAATACATCAAGGACCGCCGTGTGCACGCGGCCCTGGTCAGTCTTGATCAGGAAAAGGCCTTTGACCGTGTCTCCCATGGGTGTATGTGCAGAGCCCTGCGCAGGTTTGGTCTTGGGGAAATGTTTTGTCGGTATGTTGACCTGATGTATAACGACATTTGTAGTACTGTGCAGGTGAACGGCTGGAAAACTGACCCCTTCCCGGTCCTCTCCGGGGTCAGACAAGGCTGCCTTCTTTCACCTCTGCTTTTTGTTTGCTGTATAGAGCTCTTTGCCGAATGCATCAGACGGAATCCAGAGATCGGGGGAATCACCGCGCCGGGACCAGACAGAAGGGAAGTGAAGTGCTCGCTCTACATGGACGACGTGACGGTGTTCTGTGCCAACCAGCGCTCCATCGACCTGCTCGTCCAGACCTGCGAGGACTTCGGCCAAGCTTCGGGGGCAAAAGTCAACTGCGGGAAGTCAGAAGTCATGCTGTTCGGAAAGTGGTTCCTGCCTTCTTCTGCATCCATGCCCTTTGGCATCAAGACAGACTTCATGAAAATCCTGGGAGTTTGGTTTGGTGCCGAGGGTGCAGCCCTGAAGTCTTGGGAGGAGAGACTGTCAAAGATGCGACAAAAGTTTGGACTTTGGAGCCTCAGAGACCTCACCATCGAAGGGAAGACACTGGTACTCCGCAGCGAGATTCTCCCTGTGTTGCAGTACCTCACCCAGGCCTGGCCCCCACGGGTCAACACCTGTAAGGCCATCACCAGGGTGGTGTTTCACTTCATCTGGGGCTCCAAGATGGACAGAGTGAAGAGGGCAGTCATGTTCAAGGAACCCCTCAAGGGCGGTAAGGGCGTGCCCGACATCGCCACCCAACTGAGGGTGTTCTTTGCTTTGCCTGCAACTGCATCCGCAGAACTTTGCCAAAAAGGATTATGGACTCTGGCAGGAACGTAATGTCACGCTTCTTCCTGTTGCCTCTCTGGAGGTCCCTCGGATGGGACAATTGGGACAGTTCCATCCCCTACAACTGGGACACTCCTTGGTACTACCTGGATACCTTCAAGTTTATCAAGGAGCAGGGGCTACAGGGAGTCAAGCCTGACTTGTGGAAGCCAAAGATCATTTACAAGCTCATCAGAGCAAGTGACATTTTGGAGTCGGTTCCAGGCCTGCCTTCAGACACCTGCAAGGTGGTCTGGAGGAATGTTTCTTCAAACATCCTCACCAACAGGCACAAGGACCTGGCATGGATGGCAATCCAAGGGGGGTTGCCTCTCAGGACATTTATGCATGCCAGGAACCTGAGCAGATACAGACACTGCCCCTTCTGCATCATCCACGAGGAAACGGTTCATCACACGTTTTCTGGGAGTGCTCTTTTGCTCAGGACCTGTTGAGGGCCCTGGAACCTGAACTCAAGCACTTTGTGCCACAGACAACCATCACACACTTTGGGGTGTTGAATGGACTTTTCTGTGGAACGTTTTCTCTGGAGGACATTGACAGCGCCTGGCGGGTGCTGTGTTGTTTTAAGGACGCTTTATGGTGCGCCAGGAAGCACCTCATCCACCAGCGGGAGAGGATGTACATTGAGGACTGCCGCAGACTGATCCTCAGTCTGCTCAGGGACTATACCTTGATGGACTTTAAGGAGGAAGAGGACGTCTGAAGATCTCCCCTTCCCCCTACTCCCCCTTGCGTGTCTTTGTCCCTTCAATAAAGCTTCGGGCCTGTGACCCTTTCCCCCCCCCCCCCCCACCCGATGCTTATTGTATATTGTAACTAATCGTATCTTGCATGACTTTGTAATGGTAGGAAATGTTCTTTGTCTTAGGATGCTATGGTCTCGGGGTAAGCGGCGTTATGCATGACGTGTTGGTCTGGGGATTCGTCCGCCACGCACATCACGTCAGGCATCATACCGCTGAGTGAATGTATTATCGAATGTATTTATCGTATGCCTGGAACTATATTGCAATGTGGTGCGCTGCGTCGCAGTATAGGGTGAGCTGTACCCCGATAACGAGTATCATGTTTTTTTATACTTATGTAAAGTATCCTAAAAAAAAAGCTGTTGGGCAAGGAAGGGTTGTAGCGATGAATTCTTGAAGGAGTTCGGTACCATCTGGAGGCCAGTTTGTAGCTGTTTTCTTGCGTCGAAACATTGAGGGAGCATTTGTGGGAGTAACTAAAAATTAGGTCCAAATCTGAATCCGACAGGTTGGTATCCAGCTCTCTGTTCCATGCACGGCATGAAGGAAGAGAATTGTAGGTCCTACTCCCAACAAGGAGGGGGTACACCTCTGAGATCAAATGCTTTTGGGGTTCGGCTTTAGAGCATGCGGATTCGAAAGGGTAAGAGGACGGGCCCAGTTGTGACGGTGACGGTCTTTATGCGAAAGCAAGAAGTGTCTCATCTGGAGATAAGCCCAGACAGGGAAATCACAGATACCCAGGCTGTCTAGTAATTCAGCAAATGTTTTCATCCTGCCTTTATGAAGAAAGTGTTTTACTATAATCTGAGGGTGCGGCCAGTGTTTGGACAGGAAGGCTTCATGCATGCCAGGAGGGAAGTCTGGGTTAAGGAGTTGGGCATATCAGAAATGGATACAGACTTACAAGCCAAGCGGAAAATTTTTAAGGTGGGCCCCAGCAGAGGGTGTGTGAGAAGGACTTGAGGGGTATGCCTTGGTAGGAGCCATGGGATCGACGCCAAGGGTGAGGGTGAAAAGGCATTCTC